CCATTACCTACTCGCGAGCAAGGCCTCCCAGGACCCGGCTGCAAAGGGTCCTCCTCCCGGCTGTTGCAGATCTGCAGCCGCCGCCGCCCGGTCCTCCTTCGCCTTGCAAAAGCAAACCCCCTCCACCCTTTCCCCCCTCTCCTGCCTCCCCCCTATTAGACCCGGCCCGTCTAGCGAGCGGCTCAGTTGCTTTAACCCTCTCGGTGCTGCAGAGTCCAATGGAGAAAATGCCGAGTGTCTCTTTGCAGACCCGGACGGAGGGGCTTTAGCCAGGCTGCCGGGTAGCGGCGCCCTGTGATGCTGCTCAGTCAGTGGGGCTCCTCTGGAGTAAACGCTGCAGGGGATCGCTCTCCCGGGAGCGTCCCAGGTTGGTCACCACTGGTGCCGGCTGCTGAAAGGTTTTTCTGGAATGTCACTTATACTATTAGCGTTGTACAAGGGATTCAGTCTGATGTTTGTTAAAGGTAAAGGTTCCCTTGCTCGAAAGCCAGTCGAATCCGACTCTAGGGTTGCGGTGCTCATCTCCGTTTCAAAGCCGAAGAGCCAGCACTGTCCGAAGATGTTTCCGAGGTCATGTGGCCGGCATGACTAAACACCAAGGACATGTGTAAATAGTACAGGTTTTTGAACAATTGCTTTTGGTTAGTGAACAGTAAACATCACTGGAGAAGACCAAAGCCTTCATGTGGTTTTCTGTTTTTCTCTCCTTTTTCAAATATGAAATCTCTCAGCGGAATGATTAGACCTGTAAGTTCTCTCTTTCTGAACCTATATGTGACAGAGCCGCATGGGGTTCCCAAGCCACAGTTTGGCCACCCCTCGTCTGGAGCCATCCCTTCCTGAGCGAAGACAAAAAATGTGTGAGCCGGAGGCTAGAAAACTGTGAGCTGGCTCACGCTAACTCAGCTTAGAGGGAACACCGCCCTCCCCCTTAGGGACAACAACATACACCGCAACAATGGCTAACAAAAATACGGAAGGCAAAAAGCGTCACAAAAAATATTTGGTGTACTTCTTTAGGCATTTTAAAATCATATGTTCATAGTTCCATAGTTTACACACAGCGTATATTCATCGTTTTACACCACACAATAATCAAAAGGATGTCATAAATGCCAAACGACATTCAGAGATGCTCATTTAGTGGTCCCCTATTTAAGCTGTTCAAATCATTAGAAAGCCTCCAGTAATAACACTCTGTCTGGTGTTTTAATTTCTTAAGAACTTGGTGATTCTCTTATAAATCTTCATAATGGTGACATTGTACCTGGCAACTCCAAATCAGGGCCCTGTGAGATTTATTACAATTCCGCAGGGCCTGCAAGACGGAGCTCTTCCGCCGAATTTTGGTTGAGGCAGCGGACGTGTCCCTCCCCCCATGCGCCCCTCCATCTGTAGCCTGGGTCTACCTGTAGTCTGGGTCCTTGGGATCCTAAATTTAAAGATGTTCAACAAAAACCGATCTTAACATCATCAACCACTGAAGCATCTGACTTTTATTAGAGTGGTATGGTACTTTGACTTATGTGTTGTGCTGTGTTGTTATGTCATGTTATCTTACGTTGTGTTTTAGATTGGTTTTAACTGTATTGCACTTCTACTGTTGGAACCCGCCCTGAGCCTGTCGGGGGGATGGGGGTGGAATACAAATCCAATAAAATAAAATAAATACAATAAAATAAAGTGCTTCAAAGCGCTGACCACCAGAACACACTTCAAGGCGCTGGCAAAACAGCGACATGATCCTCAGACTTTTTTCAATACACTCCCCAAAAAGCCCTCGTTCCCCCCTCCGCGGAACTCAGTGTGCAGCAGAGAATCTGAGCCCCCTTTTTAAAATTTAACACCCCCCCTCAGCCTCAGTTGCAAGCAGCCTTTAAGAAAAACAACAATAACAAAAGCAGCCAGCAGAGTTTAAGCACATTTACCCGCAATCAGAAGATCTTTTCTGTTGTAAGTTATAGGTCAAACAATGGTATTATTCTGGATAATCCACAATATTAAAAAATGGTGTATTTTTGATTCATATAGTTAATAATGAACAATACAATTTGCTGTATTTGGTTTGTTTAAAGTTGACACTCTGTAAATTTTGAAAAAATTGTTAATAAAAAAAAGAAAAGAAGATCTTTCTTTCTCCTCCCCTCATCACAATTCCTGGGCAATTGTTAGAGATTTTCTATTCCTTGGCTCCACACAACCAAAAAGGGAGACTGTAACAATGCTCCCTCTAAGCTGCGGAGTCTTGCGAGCAAACATTCTACTTTGTGAGCGACTGGCATTAAAGTTGTGAGCGAGCCATTTGGCTACCGCATAGATTAATTTGCTCTGGAGCCCTCCTTCCTGAGCTAAGACAAAAATATGTGAGCTGGAGGCTAAAAAACTGTGAGCTAGCTCATACTGGAGCTGCGGTGGCTCAAGTGGTTAAGACGCTGAACTGCAGGCTGTGGAAGGTCAGTAGTTCAGCAGTTCGAGACCCGGGTGCCGCATGATGGAGTGAGCTCCCATCTCTAGTTCCAGCTCCTGCCAACCTAGCAGTTCGAAAGCAAGAAATTGCAAGTAGATAAATAGGTACCCCTTCAGTGGGAAGGTAACAGCGTTCCATGCGCCTTGGTCATGCCGACCACATGACCACGGAAACGTCTTCGGACAGCGCTGGCTCTTCGGCTTTGAAACGGAGATGAGCACCGCAACCCTAGAGTCGAATTCGACTGGCTTTCGAGCAAGGGAACCTTTACCTTTACTTTAGCTCATACTAACTCAGCTTAGAGGGAACACTGGACTGTACCCAAAACATCAGAAGGAGATTGAAATTGGAGAGGGCAGCCATGAAGAACCTAGAAAAGATCCTTCGGGGTGTTTGGCTGGCCTGGCAACCACGATCAATGCCACTGGCAAGAAGTGTTGGATTTGCTGTGATCATAAAAAAGGGGGGGGGGGGAGAACTAAGTATGCCATTCTCGAGTCCTTTGCAGGAAGTAGTAGAAAAGAGTAAGAGCCCAGCAGCACCTTACAGACCAACAAGTTCAGTGGCCGAGTAGGAGCTTTCCTGAATCGCTGCTCACTTCTTTAAATACAGCTAGCATGTGAATCCATTCTGTCCTATAGTTGGGAAGTGGAGTGATTTCAGATGCTGAATGATTATTGTTGTTGTTGTTGTTCAGTCGCACAGTGGAGTCTGACCCTTTGCCAACCCGGTGGACCAGATCACGCCAGGCAAATAACAATAGCAGGCGCGCTTGGATTAGGTATGATAGCGCAAAAGTGGACTTGAAGCTCAACATCGAAAAAACTAAGATCATGGCATCCGGCCCCATCACTCCTTGGCAAATAGAAGGGGAAGTCGTGGAAGTAGTGACAGACTTCACGTTCCTGGGATCCCAGATCACCGCAGACTGTGACAGCAGCCATGAAATTAAAAGACGCCTGCTCCTTGGGAGGAAAGCGATGGCGAACCTAAACAGCATGATAAAAAGTAGAGACATCACCCTGCCAACAAAAGTCCGCATAGTCAAAGCAATGGTATTCCCAGTAGTCATGTATGGCTGCGAGAGTTGGACTATAAGGAAGGCCGAGCGCCGAAGAATAGATGCTTTTGAACTATGGTGCTGGAGAAGACTGGTGAGAGTCCCTTGGACTGCAAGAATATCAAATCAGTCAATCCTAAATGAAATCAACCCTGACTGTTCCCTGGAAGGCCAGATAATGAAACTGAAGCTCAAATACTTTGGCCACCCAATGAGAAGGGAGCACTCACTGGAGAAGACCCTGATGCTGGGAAAGATTGACGGTCAAAGAAGACGGGGACGGCAAAGGATGAGATGGTTGGACAGTGTCATAGATGCAATGAACATGAAATTGAGCCAACTTAAGAGGACAGCAGAAGACAGGAAGGTCTATTGGTGGGATCTGGTCCATGGGGTTGCGAAGAGTGGGACTCCACTGTGTGACTGAACAACAACAAAAAGCAGAGAGGTAGTGGGCTGACAGAAATCAGCATTAGTAATGAGAGGGGAAACCTATGTTTGGATTCAGTCCAGGTGGATGCATTGTCTTGAACTTCCTTATTAGTTGCAATTCAGCAGTCTCCCTTTCTAATTCCTTTGTAAGGAAACTGCTACTTTTAGGTTAGCAATGGAATATTCTGGAAGGTTAAAATGCCCCCCCCCCCAAAATACCCACTAATGTCTAATGAGAGAAACAGAAAAAGAAAGGAAATATTCTGTGCTATTAAAAACAAAAGAAGATGGTGAAATTTTTCCATCTGTTTTTTAACCGGCAGTATTTTCCCCAAGGGGAGGTGCACCATTCCTGGAAACACTGCAATACCAGGCTGATGCTTGGAGTGGATGGAGCAAGCCCCTAGTCCAACTCCCAAATCCAAAAATCCAGTTAAAATATTGTTCTCACATAGAGAACATATCAGATATAAAACTGATAAGAACAGATTGACTTTTATTTAGAGAATGTTTACATTACAATCATTGATGTCATGTAGCAAATACAAGTAAACTCCGGAAAACGCAGGTGCATGCATGTCATACGAAAAACAATAAACAGGCTTAATACGTGATACTTTGGCATGCACTGTGCGTCCCGTGACTCGGAGGTGGCTGGGGGTCTGTAGGATAAAAGTCCATGGTAGGAGAGCAGGGCAGAGCCCCGGTCTCACCATCGTGGCGGCCAGCCATGCATAGAGGTTGAAAGTCCATAGGGTCATAGTCCATGGTAGGAGAGCAGGGCAAAGCTCTGGTCTCCCCATCGTGGCGGCCAGCCATGCATAGAGGTTGAAAGTCCATAGGGTCATAGTCCATGGTGGGGGAGCAGGGCAAAGCTCTGGTCTCCCCATCGCGGCGGCCAGCCATGCATGGAGGTTGAAAGTCCATGGTGGGGGAGCAGGGTAGGGACCTGTTCCCCGCGATGTTGTGGCCAGTAGCGACCGGCCAGTCTTCCTCACCACTCGCAGCCTTCAGGCGGGGGTCCTGGACGTCACGGCTGACTTCTCCGGGCGCAGGGGTCCTCCTGGGGTGGTTGCGGCTCCTCTGGGCGTCGCAGGTCTCTCTGGGCTTTTCCGCTACCATGGTGCGACCGGCCAGTCTTCCTCACCACTCGCAGCCTTCAGGCGGGGGTCCTGGACGTCACGGCTGACTTCTCCGGGCGCAGGGGTCCTCCTGGGGTGGTTGCGGCTCCTCTGGGCGTCGCAGGTCTCTCTGGGCTTTTCCGCTACCATGGACCACCTCTGGCTCCCCCCCAGGT